TGGATTGTTTTCTAGCCTAAATACACATACAAATAAGCCTAAGTCCATCACTTATCATGGGGAAAAGACTAGGATTCGTTTTGGGAGTTTACAGCCCAAGAACACCTTGGGGAGTAAACTCCTAAATCTAGTGATTTAGCCACCTAAATCATGTTATAACTACATAATAAGCATTATAAGAGAACTAGAGAAGTGTACTCATGATTTGGGATGAAAACCCGAAGATCCATGAGAGAGAAAATGGCTTTTCTCTAGTTGGAAATGTGAATAATGAATAAATTTGGTTCGGAAATCTATTTATAGTCCTGAGAAATTTTTGACAGGAAATATTTTTATTCCTGAAATGATTTCTAATATAACAGGGTGTTGGAATAACAGTGTTGCACAAAACCATAGTGCATCCACTCTTCTGATATTTACTGAAGTGTAAACCCTGAATGAGTCCAACTTATACGAAAAAGTCTGAAAATTGACTATGACTGTTATAACTTCTATTGAAGTGATATTGTTTGTATAGAATGGAAATTTCGGGTTGTCACAGTGGACAACAGTTGATATGAACATTTATTTTGAAGTAAGGGCTTGTAGCCAAATATGTAATCATAATGGTTGACTAGAAACCTTATGTAATAAAATACACTACTAGTAAAGTATGTAAATTGATTGCTAATGCTCACTTCATGAGAATATGAGAGAGGTTCTTACAGGAAGGCTAACAGACAATTTTTCATGGAAGGTGGTATTTCAAAATAAGTTGCCATTTTTTAGTTAATGTGATGCTTTTGGGTAGAATTTCCATAACGATCGAAGTGATATATGGTGGTTCAAGTAGTATATTGCTTTTAGGTAGATGGAGGTGTAGTACAATGTTTCAGATGACATGTTGTGATCATGTATCTTGGACCTTAATGTAGCTGGGTCAATTAAATTTCTATGTAAACTTAAATTATTATAATGGGTCAATATTATCATACAGTTTTAAAATATGTATTATAGATGAAAACGAAGTATCTCTATATGTCGGGAAGAATAAGTCGATTACTCTTTTACAAAGGAAAGTACAAATTAATCTAAGCGATCAGTGTTAAAACAAGTTATGATCAAGATAACCTGAGTCTTGAGGGCATCAAACAACTAACCTTATGAGAAATCACTAATTGGTAATGTATTGTGCTTAGCCTAATAAATTTAGTAGGATAAAGATGACTATAGTTATGGGTTTAAGTACAAATAAATAATGGTAAGATTTACCACAAGTAAAAGTCAATATACAAGAAAAGAAGTTTGATTAGACCTTTTAGTATAATGAGCCATGGAGAGATGTGTCTTGAGTTTCTAGTTCGCGTGTAAGATATTTTAAAGGCTCGGTAATTTTGAGAATTTTTATCAAACGGGGGAAAGTTGTAATGCCCTATTTCTTATTAGTGATTTAGGAATTGAGTGTTAATTCAATAATTAATTATATAATAATAATTACAACGATTGTTTAGCTAAAGGGTAGAAAGTGTTAACATTTAAAATATGTTTATGTTAAGAGTTGTGTCCTGAGGGCAGAAACTGTAATTATTGGAAAGAAAGTGTTAAATTTTAAAAATTGTTTATGTCAAGAATTATTAGCTTAAGGGATCTAGTCCATGGTATCGTCCATTCTAGAATCATGCGGAATAAGGAGTGGGAGAAAAAAGAGGAAAAAAAATGAAGACAGCATCAGGTTGGAAGGAAAGCTGTCGGAAGATTGATGTCATCATTAAAGGGAGGAGGAACAGGAGAATCACGAGAGAAAAAAATATTTCTTCATCTTAAGGTATCGATGTTTTATTTTTCTTCTTCTTCTTTGTTTTCCACGCCATGCGCTACCCTACCGCCGCCACCGGCAGCCTCTTGCCACCAGCATGATTTCTTTCACCACCCACGACCGTGAGATGGTTGTGTGGGTGTGTGTGTGTATGTGAGATAAGACTGTGTCCAAGAAATTAGTTTTCCTTTTTCTTAGTTCATTTTTTCATTGTATTTTGGAAGGTAACTGAGGGTTTCCACCCTTAACAACCATTGAACCACCGCCGACAGCCTCCTACCGACAGGGGTGGCAGGGGCACCTCTACCTACCACTACAGAACGCTAGCAAGTTGTGGTTGTGGGTTCCTTTTTTTGATGAATAGATTATAGTTGAATATATATGAAAAGAATCAAGTATTGGTCCTTTTTCTTTCTATTTCGTATATAGCATTGCACTTTCTGTTCTTGGTGGTTTTACCACCACTGACCACACCAAAACCAACCAATAGACCACCAATAATTGGTAGTTCTATAAAAGGTGTCATTTTTTTGTTTTGGTGACGTAAAGTGTTTAACGGATTAAGATGGAAGCTTAACCCTAAAATATGTAGAAGTTTATAATTTGTGGTTCAACGTTAATTTTGTATTTCCATTAAGTCAGGCATTAAGACTTTCAGTAAAGATGATCAATAAACCTTGGAAAGCTCATATGTAACCAATTATTATGTCAAAAGTGCTTATGCTAAAACTTAACCATAATTTCCTTAATGGAACACCAAAAGTGATATAAAGACTATTATGATCAATCTTTCTAGTTTTGCCCTTCAACTTCTAAAATTTTATAGGCCAATCAGAATGCCTAAAAATCCTAAGACTTAATTTTCTGGTTAACCCAAACGGTTCCCACGACGTGATGGGTTAATTGTTACGACGTTGCGACGGATAGCTTCATGACTGTTTTGTCTCTACATTTGCATGACGTGGCCAATGGGTGGCCAGGACGTGACTATCAATTTATGTTGACTTTGACCACTGACTTTGACCATGATGGACTTTTCGTCAATTTAAGGGTTTTCGGGTGTAGACTGAGAGGGTACTTCCTTCTTGTTGTTAGGTGCCTCATAGTACCAATCTATATTTTTGTGAGAGTTGTTGCTCTTAGTTGTTATCTGCAAGTTGAGTTTTCTCACGGTATTACTTATGTCATAGTATGTATGCATGTTGACCAACTTGGTCTTATTTTTTATTGTTGTTATATTTTACTGAGCTGCTAATAGCTCCGGGCATTCTATTAGCACATTGGGATTGCTGATAGTCTCCACGATTGCTGAAAACCCATAGAACATGTTGTTAGCCAACAATGTGTGTTGTTAGCCCATTGGGACTACTAAAAGCCCACAAAGTTACTAACAACTCATTGTTGTTTATTTATGTTGTGTTGTTTGTGATATTTTAGGGAACTCAGTAAGAGTCGTGCTTACAATTATGGATTAAATATTTTTCAGGTATTTATCGGATTGCGAAAGCAGGACTTTAGACATACATTGACAACTTTATGATTCAACATTATGTATTGTCTTCTTTATAACATTAATTTATGGATAATGATTTATGAACAAGTTGTTGGACCTAAAGGTAACTTTATTAATTATGGGTGTTTATTCTATTTTTAAAATCAAAAATTTATTCTGAAAATTGAGATGTTACGGAAGAGATATGGATTTAGGGCAAAAACATCAATTATTTATATAAAACAAAAAAAAATCATGTGACAGTAATGCAAATGTCAACAAGGTCGAAGTTTCCTTTTTCGAGTAGGATTTAAAATCATGGAGTATGGAGCGGTTATTGATGAGGTGTGGTACGACCTTCTTGTTTTGGCAGGCTTTTGTTTTTTCATATTTATCTAATCAAATAAGCTCTAATCATTCCTTTTTGCTTACTGACTGTGTTAGGATTACCCAATTCAAAGAATTATCAATAACAATTATCTTTAAATATAACAATAAGATTAATATATTAAAATAACTGCCCAAACAATTTACTAATTATGGCAACAATCATATTTCAAGCATCTCAGTAAAAGGTTTAACTTTTTTTATTAAAAACTTTTAAAATTATAATTTAATAATTCTTATCGACATTTTATATTCATTTGATTTATAAATTTTACGGAAAAAATGTGTTGGTTATTCTTATTTTTTTAAAATTATTTATTTACTGATTTTAATCTTCATCTCAACTAGGTTGATGGTCATATATCAAACCAATTTTTTGGTAAACCAAAACACATCCATCAATGTCATAAATAGGAAAAAACTTGATTTTGCCGAGTTTTTTCACCGGTCACCTTTGAACTGATTTGATTGGTTAAGTGTCAGTGGCGGGGCCAGGATCAAAAGGGTATCCCAATTTTTTTTAGGGTAACCTGATTTTTTTCTCGGTGTACTTGGGTTTCTCGGGTTCAGTTTCGGTTTTAAACCCAAATCTTAATTGAATCCTTAGCTAACCTCAAATCTTGTTATATAAACATGAAGTTGAAGTATATTTTGATAATTGAATCGTTGTGAGACTGAATGTAGATATCAAATAAAGCATGAACATAACAGGTTTATATAATAGAAAAAAATAGCTGAGTTTACATGTATTTAACGATGTAAGATAGAATAGCTGGAAAAATAAAATAAAAATAAACAAAGAATGTAAAAAGCAAGAATAGAACTCAAGACCTTTGCTGAATAAACCAACGCCTTAACCAACAAACCAACTGTTGTTTATGTTTATAAGTGGACGTATATATACACTATACCGATTTTTTTTTCTTTTTTTGAGTGATACGTAAACAAAAATTACACTACCGAAAAAAAAATTGAGAGGTATCCCGGGCTACCCCGAGATCCCCTTTGATCCGCCCCTACTAATTGTTTCGAATTTTTAAAACATTGAATTAAAACCATTAATTTATACTTTAACCGAGCATAAATCCATCAACCTTGTTTACTCAAATTACTATTTTTGTTATTTTGAAGCGAATACAATTAGGGGTAAAAGAAATATATATAAAAAAAAAAACAACAATGAAGCAAGATGCATAATGGAACCTATATTGGAGATTTTACCATATATGTCACCACAATAGATACCTCTCACAATAATTATTCATCTTCCATCTATAAATCTAATAAGTTGAAGTAACAATTATTTATATCAAAACACTTAAAACATTAATGACAAGTTTTGGGGTCGGGGATGGCAACACTACAAGCATCTGCCACTTTTTTAACACTAGGATTGTTAAGATACGAACCAAAGACTGGATTCTTCGCAAAGTCACATAGGCAAGGTTCTTCCATGCGGAGATTGTTGCAACAATCTGAATCTGGAGATGGTGCTGGTAACGTTGGATCTTTAATAAATGGATAGCAAGGTAGTAGTTTCATGATGTCGCAGTCTACCGCTGTACCCACATGCACTTTCACCATAAGAATTGCCACAATTAAGAACATATTGATCCCAGAAAATTTAGGCATCTTCGTTGTAAGAAAAATAGATGATTGAAGATATAGAGGATTGTTATGACATGATATTTACAAAACTTTCTACGTTATTTATAGGGATATAAAAATCTTGACCACTGATTTTAAAATCAGTTGACAAATAAAGGTATTAAATTTGTCGTATTAAATTTGTCATATTGTACTGAGGAACAAAATAGTTCAACTCTGATAATAAATAAATAACTGATTCAATAAATGCTAAATTATATTTAATTATTATGAAATCATATCTATTTAATGAACCTGTGACATTTAATATATTTTTATGGCTCTTATTTAATACCATAGTATATATGAAAAAGTCCAATAAACAATCATTATTATTCAAGAAACCAAGAAACCAATCCAAAACGTCATATTTTAAAGCGATCAACAACAAAAATAATGGTTGTAAATTTTTATAATTGATACAAATGTACCGGATTATAACAAAACTTTTTTTTTTCATTTAAAATTTTTTTAGGCCAAGTTTTTTATCGAAAAAAAAATCTGAATATACAGTTGTTCACGATTTTTCATCATCTTTCCATAGAAATCCATGATGATATATATAAAAAATGAACTTTTTTTTTCGAAAAAACCCACTTAATTTTCTTATTTTTTTCAATATTTAAGCTTTTTTTTATAAAAAAAAAAAACTAATTATACCAAAAATATTAATTTTTTGTACTCTATTAATAAAATCAACACCAATTAAAAAAAAAAAAAAAACACGAACAGTGTACAATCACTCTGTGAATTTAAACTGTAAATATTTCAATTTTTAACATTCACAATATGAAAAATCTCGAACAGTTCAGATTCACATTAGGAATCTGAATTACTATTATGCACACTGTGAATCTGAAAATGTTCACAAAAAAGAAAATAAAAAAATAAAAAAAAACATCAATCAGTGTAGATTCACATTGTGAATCTAAACTGTAAATATTTCAAATTTTAACATTCAAAATGTGAAAAAAATCCGATCAGTTCAGATTCACACTGTGAATCTGATTTATTATTATACACACTGTGAATTTGAGAAGGTTCACAATGTGAATCTGAACAGGCTTACAATATGAATCTGAACAACTTCATAATGTGAATCTGAACTCAAATTTCGTTTTTTTTTTTTTTTTTTTATAATATGGATATGAATCTATGTTTAAAAAGTACAAAAAATATGAATTTTGATATATTTATTAACTTTTTTCTATAAAAATTAAACCTTAACTTTTTTCATTAAAAAAAATGAAGAGGGTTTTTTTCGAAAAAAAAAGTTCATTTTTTATATATCATCATGGATCTCTATGGAAAGATGACGAAAAATAGTAAATAACGGTATATTTGTTTTGTTTTTTTTTTTTTTTGGATAAAAAACATGGCCTAAAAAAAATTTTAAACGAAAAAAAGTGGTGGGTTTTTTTGTAAATGGTGGATTTTTTGGTATAATCCGGTGTGTGTGCGTCCAATGTAAAAGTGTACATCTATTTTCTTGGCTGTTGATCTTATGATTTTCGATGGTCACGATTGGTTCCTTAGTTCCTTGGTTAATTATGATTCTCTATTGAACATCAATATATATATATAATATATATATATATATATATATATTATATATATATATATAATATATATATATATATAATATATATATATATATATATATAGAAAGAGAACTAGACTGTAGTTAAAATAAGAACAATTATATAACTGAGAAGGCCAGAACAAATCTGAATAGTAATAAGTATATATCAATATATGAACATATAAGTATATTCATATATGAATAGTCATTTGAGAATATGCACATACATATTCCCATATTTATATTACATTCCTTTGTCGCAACAGTAGGCGGGAGGTTTTGTGGCAAAAAAAGAAATTTATGGCCTTTATATGTTCTCGCATTCTAAAATTTATAATTGTGCTCATTTGAACCTTCATTATATATATATATATATATATATATATATATATATATATATATATATATATATATATATGTTAAAATGTGGATGAAATCTATTGTGCGACTCTATATTAACATTGCTATTGTATAAGAATAAATAAAAGAATAATTTATTTGGTAATGTGAATATAATCAATCTAACACAATGATCGTCTTTATTAATGCATTCTCACTAATTCTTATTCATTTTTGTTATCACACATCGTTTTTCACTCATTTTCATTCTTGCAAAATATGATTGTTGATAACACATTCTAACAACAATTTGACGGAAGAAAAATCTTGAAAAAAAAAGTCTATATTACCCATATATACAATTTAATTAGTGATTGTTTGATAATGACAATAGTTATGCGAGGTTGAACATATACACATTATCAAACAACATATTTTTTTTAGTCATTCTCATAGTGTACCATTGTCCATATATCCACATAATAGATGTTTGTTTATATTTGAACGAAGCCATATATATATATATATATATATATATATATATATATATATATATATATATATATATATATATATCTTGTTTTTATTCAATAATTTTATTGTAAATTTATTATTGAATATCTAATTTTTTTTAATATAAACTAGAAAGGTTACCCCCGCTACGCGAGTACCAGAAGCTTTCAATGTTATTTCCAAATCGATAAAAATGACTGACGTAGAAAGTGTAAGGATGAAAAGCTCGGGCTTTGCTGCAGACCGTTTTTTTTTTTTTTTTTTCATGTTTTTATGAAAAGATGTAAAAGTTTTGACTGCAAGGACTAGAAGTGTCAAAATGGATATAGAATTAAAGAGATAGGAATTAACAACTTTTTCGAAAAGGAATCAATGTTATCAAACAATTAAAGTTTTGTGACCAAACTTTAAATATTAAAAGGTTCCTAAAAAATGTAAAAATATTAATTGCACAGACCAAAAGTGTCAAAATGGCCAAAGAATAAGGAGTAAAGTTGCCAAAAAATATCTAAATTTACTATTTCTAACTTTGAAGCCCAATAATAATACACGAACTAATTGTGACAAAAAAATAACAATTTTACTATTTTTAAGATTCATTTCTTTAATATATATATATATATATATATATATATATATATATATATATATATATATATATATATATATATATATATATATATATATATATATATATTAATGGTTTTCATAAAAAATAAATATGATAATAGATTTCTATTAATTGAGAAATGAATTCAAGGACTATTGTTTTCATAAATGTATATGGCAAAGTTTGGATAATATATTTACACATTGATATTCATAAAAGATTATACTACAATTAATATTCCTAAATGGTTATACTACAACTAACACCGTACATTTATATTGATAATGTTCTTTTTTTTTTTAATTATTAAATCATATAGAAAATGAGATATTGTATTCATATATAATTATAACTACTTTTTTCACTAATACATCTTGATTGAAATGTATTTTTACAGTTGTAATCACAAATGAAGAAAACATATTTTTCGTAACTTCCGACAAACATGATGTTGCTTTTATTTTTTTTCTCCATATTTACCAACATAAATCTGTAACAATAAAGAATAAAGTTCAATGTATTAGTTTATTTAAAGAAATCAAGATACAAACACCAAAAAAAATATACTAGTAACCCATGAGATACACAAATAATTTAAAACAATTATAATCATAAATGAAGAAAAGACAATAAAAATATATAAAAACCAATATATTTATAATCAATAAAAAACTATAAACATAAAAGATGTAGTTCATATGTAATCACAAATGAATGAAGCATATAAAAGATATCCAAAACATATTTTATTATAAAACCGATCATACTCAAGCACAAAAAGGGAACACATTTTACCATTGTTATTTTTCGATTCGCACATGCAAATCAATTTCAAAGATATAAAATAACTATTATTAACTATAATGCTGTGTATGCACTGATTCATAAATGAATGTTTGTGAGTGTTATGGTTGCAGAAAAAGAAAAAGGTAGCCATTCATTCTTTTCTTCGTTCTAATCATAAATAAAAATTCAAATATGATCCTGATAACCATGGATAGTTATTTATATTTGTATGCCAATAAATATTAAAAGCATCATAAAGAATAACTTGTTTTCCTGAACACATTTTTTTATTTTGATTATAAAACCATTAGATCCTTGTCGTTTGAAACGTAATTCTCAATCATTCTTGCCATTGTGAAAAAGTGAATGAAAAACTAAAAACGTCATCAACAAAAATGACAATACAGTGAATATGTAATACTGAAAATCAAAGAATTGTGATAATCAAATTGACCACAAATGAGTTTTAGTAGCTTTTTTATTAATAGACTTATACGATTCCCACCCTCTTTCGATCATTGGAGCAATGATACGTACTTAAAATTTTGCACTTTTTAACAAGGGTAAATCACACAAAAAAATTTCTTTTTGCACAGAAATTCGATTTTGACATCATATTTTTTTTTGTCAATTTTGACACGGTGTTTTCCAATTTGTTACAATTCTGAACACTTGATCGGTTAACCAGGTTACATGATGACGTGTTAGTTTGATGACGTGGCATGCTGATGTGTCAAAATTGATTTTTTTTTCAACAAAAAACACTAAGTTTTCACTTTTTTTTCGATTTTGACACTAAGTTAATTTTTTATTTTAATTTTGACATTATGTTTTTTTTGTTCTAATCGAACATCATTTATCAAATTTTGTTCAATTTTGTCTATTATCCATTTGAAACCGTATAAATATATATATATATTTTTTTTGTTACATTTTAAACCGTATAAACATATTTTTTTCGTTTAAAAACCACATTTTTATTTAAATACAATGTGTTTTTATTTTCTTACATTCAAAGTATTAGTTATATCATGAGAATCAAACTAACCATAAACTTCTAATAAGATGTAAAAATTTGATGGATTGCAAACTTGATATCTGAGTTTTGATCGACTACATGCCTCCAAACCTCCAAACACATTTTAAAGTTACATA